ATTTTCCTCTCACACTGGTGTGAATCAGGAATAAATCCATTGAAGTTAGTTGGATTCACTGGTGTAAAATCAGTGTGAGAGGAGAATCAGGTCATGTTTCAGGACAGTCACTCTACTGTCCCACTTGCATAGTGCACATTTCAATGAGGGGCTGCAAAGCAACTGCAGGTTGTTACTGACCAACTAGGCCACCACATTAAGGCACCTAGGAGCACTTCATTAAGTGCTTTCTTCAATCCATGTGAAACTAACGCAAGATACAGTGCCACACCTACATTTTTGAGCTAGAGCTGCCACTTGCTCCTGTTTTAGCATATGATCCGGACTTTTCACTGGGGGAATTCAGTTCCCTATGTTACAAAGAGTGTAAGTTCGTATGTTGAGAAGTTCTTGGATGCAAAGTGATCACAGATCGACCAACTTATTAAAGTGAACGGGTGTGCTTAAAACGCTCTCCTTTGTGACCAACAGCGTGAGCAGAATTGGTCCAAAATTTTCCAATGGAATGCTTTTCTGTCAGAAAATATTGGTTCATTGAAACCAAAACTTCCTGTGGGAACATGTCAATTTTTACAAAATTTAATTTAGAGAAAATATTGAAAAAAAGCGTTTTGATTAGATCGAAATCTTCCTCTGACATTTTCAGAATAGAACATTTTAATATATTATATTATTTCACTTTTTTTTGTTTTGAAACAACTTTTTGTTTTGAAATTTCTTGTATTTGATATTAGTAAAAAAAAATGTTGAAATTGAAACGAAATGTTTCAACTGACCTGAAGTAAATATTTTTCAAACACGTCACATTGTGGGAAATTTCAAAACAATAACAAATGTCAAAACCATGACATGTCGTACAACGTGAAAATTCTGGTTCCTGTATAGCGCCAGACAGGAACAGCTCAGCCCTGTCTAATGCGAAACAACTGCATGCAAAGGAAAGGGCTGATGCCTCAACCCACTGTGAGACCCTTCAGTTCAGAAGGAAAATGTGGAGCTTATGTGCTTTCCTAGGTTTCGTACATAGGGGCTGAGGGCTCAAACAGAACTATGTATTAATCATTAGGAGAGAGAACTTAGTGTAGTTTCTGGAAGGAAGCAGACTATACATGTTTGACTATGGACTCGTCTACATTCAGTTTTTGCACCAATTAAATGGAGGGGGCAGAGGCTCAAGCTAGTTGGTTCTAGCAACAGGACAGTGGTTTCTTACTTGGGATATCTGCACAGGGAGCTGCCTGCGTACAGTTTGTCCTGACTGCTGTTCAGAGAAACAAGACTGGTGTTTATTTTGTAAATAAACAAATTACACTAAGAACAAATTGAACTGATTTCTGTTCCAAACAGGAAACTGACTTGTATGGCCCCAAATTTGCCCACTGCTCAGCCAAAGGGGGCAACATTACCACCAACCGGTGGGATTGCTCAGAAATTTGTCCTTTGTCAGACTTAAATGGCCGCTGTCTATAAAGAAACATCTGAGGCTTCTGGGTCAGCAAACTTTTTTTAGACATCAAGATTGAATAAAATGTGGAGAAATTTTCCCTAGATGGAAACGGCAGGATAACTAGCTGTAAACAATAGGAGCCATGGAAACACACAAGCCACGTTTGAAAGTCTAGCTAGGGAAAGCCAACATTGATTCAGTTTTATTCTTAGAATGTTTGCAAAATCCTGGAATTCTTCATTTAAAACACATGGAATTTCGTAGATGCAGCAAATATGTAACCTAAGTCAATGGGGACTGTGGATAATTCACATTTCTTGTGATCAACCCATTCACAGCAATAAAAAAGAGCATTCATTAAAAAAATTAGCCCCAACAGCCCAGATTGAGACAGTCTACTACAAATAATGCAGTTTATATGCTTGTAATGGAGGAGAAAAATGGGTAGGAAAAGGCATTTCATATTCAGGCTTCCAAGGAGTTCTAAACCAGTGATTTATTTATGGAATAAATAAATCACTGGTTTAGTTCCTAGAGGAGAGGGAGGAAGCAACCCAAAGGTCTTGAAGCTGTGGAGCGAGACAAATAGCATGTCATCATGCATTTAGCAAAGTATAATGAAAACCTCAGAAAAATAGAGAGGCGGGGAGATATATGTTCTCTAGGCTGGAAAGTTATTGAATGCTTGAAACCAGCAAGCTGAGAGTTTAAGGGATGGAGGGATTTCCCTGCCTCTTTCTCCCACAAACACCCTGAAGCAAATAACTGGTGTGTGTGTGTGTGGGGGGGGGGATTAAATTAAAACTATTAAAAATACTTTGGCTGTGCCCTTTTTTTAAATCAATGATGTTGTTGCCGAGTGAGACTTGCTATTTTCTGCAAAGAACAATTAGTTGACTTCAGAAAAAATCATTTTAAAATGGCACTTTAATGACTGTGTTTTGCAAACAATGTATTTTATTGATATGAATTGTGGTTTAGTGTTAGAACAGTCAGTGTGTATGTAGCACTGTCAGTGTACATAGTGCTTTGCAAAAAAGGGCCTGATCCTAAACAGGGTGCAGACCACCCTCAACCCCTGCTGAGGCCACTGGGAATTGTTAGTCCTCTGCACTTTGCGTGATCAGATTCAGAGCAGGGCATATTCCCTGCCCTGAAGAGTTTATGTTCTAAAGGCCAATCCTGCATGCATGCAAGTAACTTCACACAGGTGAGTGGTCCCACTGACATCTTTGCTGTCAGGATTGAACCCTAAAGACCTGATTCTGCAAGGTGCTGAGCCCTTCCAACTCCTACAGAAATCAACAGGAGTTGAAAGTACTCAGCACCTCACAGGAGGTGCTCAGGACCTTGCAGGACTAGGCCTCTAAGAGAAACAAGATGTGGAACAGCAGTTGAAATATGAGAGGGGATGAAGACCTTATTGGCAAGGAGAACAAGACAGGAAAGATTCCTTGGAAACAGGGGGCCAGATTCTCTGCTGATGTAACTCTACTGAGTTCAATGGAGTTAGCTGCCAGAGAAGTTGACCCATGGAATTAAAGGAGAGATTTAAAAGAGAGAAAGGGTGTTTGGTGGGCAAGAACTGGGAAGTTGTTCCAAGGGAAGAGGCAGCATGAAAACAGATGCAAAGCAGTAAATGGAAGATGGAGACAAATAGAGCACTAAGAAGAAGGAAGAAGTTTAGGGAGTGAAGGAGTAGGTGGAAATGAGGTTTGAATTTAAACACACAAATTTGGAAAATACAAAAGTTGAGTTTCTCATAGCAACTCATTACACGTGGCTGGCCAGATCCTGATCTGTCACATTGAAGACAATAAAGTTACTCCAGATTTACATCAGTGTGGGGTTATTTTGGATTTACACTGGTGTTCTGAGATTAGCATTTGACTCTGGGGTAACCATTAGGATAGACATTCACTCCAGAGCTTAATTTTAAAGGTGCATTTTGTAATCAGCAAATGCCTGTGGTTACCTATGGTCTCTACATCTATCACCTTCCAACTGCTTCTTCATTATTGGCTCTAAAATGTGCTGAGATTGCAAGATTCTTGCTTCATCACCACGATCAGCCTGAACTCTGCTCTGACCCCACCATGATAATGAGTTGTTATGATTATTATATAACTGCTGTGTGAAGAATCGAGCATGTGTACAGTGGAAGCAATTTATCTTGGAGAGGGGAGGAGGAAACTGGATTGGCAGAGACATCCCTGCAAATTAAACTAGGAGTAAATAAACCCATTAAACAATATTCAATCATGGATGCAAAGCAGTGAGCAATAGTAAAGGCCAGCACAGACCATCTCACTGCCAACGCAATATGATTTGTCAGAAACTCAGCTGATTTTAATTGTTTTTGACTTTGCCTCCAATGTGTTTCTACTACATATAGAATAAAATACTTTTAAATATGGATTAAAATAAAATATTTTTTAAAGGATATGCTCATTTCTTGTGCCTTCCTACAAGAATTTCAAAGCACTTAACAAACATCCTGGAAATAACTACAGGCACAAGGAGACTCACATGCATAGATACTCACTCATCTGCAGAAGTATTGGTAGGATTGAGGCCATTACTGAATTAAGTTTCAGATCACCTCTGGGAGGTAGGTCAGTATGATTTACCCCATTTTATTGATGGAGCAACTGAGACTCCAATTGTGCCATGGGAGCCCCATGGCCTGGCCACATCCCTACACCCTCATAGAGTTCATTGGAGGATAAGGGTTTAAGAAACAGAGAAACTGACTTCCCCAACACTACACTGTGAGTCATTGCCAAAGCCAGGAATAGAATCTGTGGACCCAATTGTGCAATATGCTCGGCAGTCAGAGCCCTGCGCCCGTGCATGCAGAGCCCTGCTGAAGACACTGGGAGCTCCATTTGGGGTTCATTCATGTTGGGCACCTTGCAGGACCAGGACTTTAATCTCTTGAACCTCTGTGCTCTAACCCACAGAACCCGTTTTTTACAAAAACTCCCCACATCTGTGGTTGTCAGACAGCTGTTTTCCAGGGTAAACCCAGATGTTCTAAGTGGTTGGGCAGGTCTGTTTAAAAGAAAAAAGTGGGAGTCTTTAAGCAATAGAGCAAAAAGTCTCAAAATATGTATTAAGAACAGCACTTAATAATCACTTGAAATAGTTATTGATCATTTTTTCAGTTAGCATTGTTGTCAATGGCAAATTACGAGTGATATTAATGAGTTATGTGTATTATATTTATGGATTGTTATTATTGATTCTATTAATTATGCAGGATTGACAGTAATAATAATCTTCGCCCTTATTGGCTTGAGCTAGTCGATTAGGAACCAGATGTGCACATCTGGGGAATCTGGCTGTGAGCTGCTTTCAGAACACCCCATCCTTTGCAATGCTACGGGCACATGCTGGCTTTAAAGCTCAGGTCGGATCTATTTCCCTGCTCCCGCCCCCTCGCGGCGGAGGGATTCCGTGAGTGCGGGACGCTGGTAGAGCGAACCCGCTCTCGGCGCTCTACTTATAAAGGGTTCCCGGCTGCCGGGCCGTAGCACTTAGTGTTCATGCGCCACCAAAGCTTCCTGAGAAGGGACGGCGGCCATTTTGTGCGGTGCTGGGTCGCTGCTGAGAGCGGCGGGAGGGAGGCAGGCGAGCGCCGGGCCGGCGGGCAGCAGGGCGAGGCGGGGTCCGCATTGCCGCTGAGAGGCGATGGCGGATATAGACAAGCTCAATATCGACAGCATCATCCAACGGCTGCTGGAGGGTGAGGGAGCGGGGGGACCCTGGCGGGAGAGCGGGGCCTGGGGGTAAGCACGGCGGGGTCCCTGAGGGGATGCGCTCGGCCCCGCCGGCTGCAGCAGAGGGAGGGGCCGGTGGGGCTGGAGCCTGTGGCAGGCTCGCGGCAGGGGGCGGGCTCGGCGCGAGGCGGGGACTCGGGCCGGCGCGGTGTGTGGGGGGCGGTGAGGGGGTCTCTGGCCCGAGCCCCGCTCGCCCGGCCCCCCTCGGACAGGGCTGGCCGCAGCGGAGAGGCGCTGAGGCGCTTTGTCTGTGCCCCGGTGACCTCCCGCCTTTGCCCGTCTCGCTTCCTCCGGCCGGCCTCTGCGTGTTCACGCCGGGGTTTCTTCAACGCCTGCCCGAGGGAAAACCAGTGGCCTGGATGGAGCTGCTGGGGGCGTCCCCCCCACAGCCCTCTTGGCAAGCGGGGGGCGAGTTTGGCGGGGTGGGGGAGCAGAGAGAGGCTAAGAGGCTGCATGTCCAGTAGCCTGCCTCCCGCACACATGCGCAGTGGATGGATGCTTGGCTGGGCAGTTATGGGGGGAAATGCCGCTTGTCTCTGTATAAAGCGGTGGTTCTCAACCAGGGGGCCGGTGTCCCTTGGGGGGCCACGAGCAAGTTTCAGGGGATCTGCCAAGCAGGGCCGGCATTAGACTTGCTCAGCCACGGGCAGAAAGCTGAAGCCCAACCGGAACCCCGGGGCCCCGAGCCCCGCCATCCAGGGCTGAAGCCAAAGCAATTTAGCTTTGTGGGTCCCCTGTGCCATGGGGCCCATGGCATTTGCACTGCTTGCTACCCACTAAGGGATGCCCTGGCTTTTGTATGCAGAAAAACAGTTGTCGTGGCACAAGTGGGCCATGGAGGTTTTATGGCATTTTGTGGGGGCTCAGAAAGAACAAGGTTGAGAGACCTCCTGGTCTAAAGGACAGAGACTGAGTCTGTTGTGGCAGCCTTTTTTAGAATAATCTGGGAGATTTTCCGTTTGTTCAGGTGGGAAGGGTTATAATTTTTAATTAAAACATTGTAATCAGTTATTTGTAGGAATACAAGCCTCTGACCCTGGGTGTGTAATTATGAGTTTTAGTTTATAAAGCCTCATATTTGATTTTTTTTTTAAAGTGGAAGTGGGCTGGTTTTGCACTTCTAAATGCCATTTTATTGAAATGGTTTGTCGTACTGTCCATCTGTATTCCATTGGGGGTAGGCGATAGGGAGGTGCACCCAGTGTCTACGCTTTCCTAAATAAATATGGGGGTTGTGGTGGGTTTAATTTTTTTATTTGGTCAGCATCTGATTAAAATGGTTTATTAATCTTTGACTGGGGTACAAGGTTACAAAGTAGCCAATGGATATTCTCCTTGGAATAGAAAGCCAAATAATTATTTAAAGAAGAAAACTGGATTTATCTAGTCTGTCTCAAGTCCGTCCTTGCACTCATATGTCTGGACTTACCTTGGGAGAGCTTGGCCAGGATTTTAATTTTTTTCCCATTTGGCACAAAGTAATCTAAGACTTTGCTGAGCCAGATACTAGATAAATGCCTTTCATCTCTTCCTTATTGTAAGATTTTTTTGACCTGGATAATGAAAGGCCAAGGCAAAGGGACAATTGTGCTGCTATAGAAATTTAGGATTTACAAATCCAGTGGATTTGGTTTGTGATTGTGCTACGTACATACATACAGAGAGAGATTCTTGTCTCTTGTTTTTTCTCTCCCTAATATAATTAGGGAGTTTATATATATAAAATTTATTGCATTTCTTTGACAAGCTTAGGCAGAAGTGTTCATGAAACATTGCTGCTTTTTGCAGGTGTCAGCTCCTTATTTCAGCACATTTGGTGTTTAAAAGTTGTTTGTATAGTGGCTACTTACTGTAGTTCTTGTTTGCCTTGCTATAGCATAACTATCAGTAGTTTTTTCCGGGAAAAGAACGTAAATGTCAAAGTTCTTTAACAAGAAAAAGTAGTTCAAATGTTAAAAGGTAGAACAAGTAGTAAGATGTATTTGATATTTTATATAATGTTTGTTTGCTATCTAAGACTTTTTGGAATTGGATGGGAATGTGAAGGTTGCTATCTTGAAATTAGGGTTGTCAAGCAATTTAAAAAATTGTGATTAATCGCACTGTTAATAACAGAATACCATTTAAATATTTTTGGATGTTTTCTGCATTTTCAAATATATTGATTTCAATTAAAACACAGAATACAAAGTGTACAGTGATCGCTTTATATTTTTATTACAAATATTTGCACTGTAAAAAAACAAAAGAAATAATATTTTTCAATTCACCTACTACAAGTACTGTACTGCAATCTCTTTATCACGAAAGTTGAACTTACAAATGTAGAATTGTGTACGAAAAAATAACTATTTTTGAATGCAATGTAAAACTTCAGAACAGGGGTAGGCAACCTATGGCACGCGTGCCAAAGGCGGCACGCAAACTGATTTTCAGTGGCACTCACACTGCCCGGGTCCTGGCCATCGGTCTGAGGAGCTCTGCATTTTAATTTTATTTTAAACGAAGCTTCTTAAACGTTTTAAAAACCTTATTTACTTTACATGCAATAATAGTTTAGTTATATATTATAAACTTCTAAAAGAGACCTTCTAAAAATGTTAAAATGTATTACTGGCACACGAAACCTTAAATCAGAGTGAATAAATGAAGACCGGATACACCAGTTCTGAAAGGTTGCCGACCCCTGCTTTAAAGTCTACCAGTCCACTCAGTCCTATTTCTTGTTCAGCCAGCTGCTCGGACAAACAAGTTTGTTTACATTTGCAGGTGATAATGCTGCCTGCTTCTTGTTCACAATGTCACCTGAAAGTGAGAATAGGCGTTCGCATGGCACTGTTGCAGTCGACATCGTAAGATATTTACATGCCAGATGTGCTAAAGATTCATACGTCCCTTCATGTTTCATCCACCATTCCAGAGGACTTGCGTCCATGCTGATGACAGGTTCTGCTTGATAACAATCCAAAGCAGTGCGGACTGACGCATGTTCATTCTCATAATCTGTGTCAGGATGCCACCAGCAGAAGTCTGATTTTCTTTTTTGGTGGTTTGGGTTCTGTAGTTTCTGCATCAGAGTGTTGCTCTTTTAAGACTTCTGAAAGCATGCTCCACACCTCATCCCTCTCAGATTTTGGAAGGCACTTCAGAGTCTTAAACCTTGGGTCAAGTGCTGTAGCTATCTTTAGAAATCTCACATTGGTACCTTTTGTGTTTTGTCAAATCTGCAATGAAAATGTTCTTAAAATTAACATGTGCTGAGTCATCATCTGAGACTACTATAACATGAACTATATGGCAGAATGCAGGTAAAACAGCCAGAGACATACAATTCTCCCCCAGGGAGTTCAGTCACAAATTTAATTAATGCATTATTTTTTTAACGAGCATCATCAGCATGGAAGCATGTCCTCTGGCATGGTGGCCGAAGCATGAAGGGGCATATAAATGTTAAGCATATCTGGCATGTAAATTTTTGAATTAATCGCGTGAGTTAACTTCGATTAATCGACAGCCCTACTTGAAATACTACATAAATAGTACTTTAAAGAACTCACCAACAAGGTACTCAAAGGATATGGCCAAGTCACTGTACTTACAAAAATTAGCAGTATTAACTAGTGTTGCATTGATTAAATGCCAAAGCTTTAACATTGAAACTTTATATAAAATCAAGAAATTCAAGAGAGGATTTTAAACTGCTTGGGGCAGGTATTATTTTTCTAGATTTAAATCACTTATTAATATTTGTAAACAGTGTTATAACAGTTGTTCCCACATCAGCTAATTCTGCCCCTTTATATGTATTTTAGTGTATTATATATTTACTCCTATTTTAATATGAGCTATAACAATCAGTTGCTATATGGAGTAGAAACTTAATTTTGTTATAAATCTCAATGATATTGGATTAATGTAGCCTTCTGTATTTAATACCATTTTTTATAAACGAAGGCCAAAGATCCATTTTTGCATTCATGTAAATAGCTGTTTTGAATAGAAGGGTTAAGTTGCGATTGTGTATCTTAAAAGGGAAATAACATATAAAACCCACTATACTATTTTAGTTTTTACAACTTCCCAACCCTTTTTTCCAAGCTTGGGAATGCCGACATCCCCATTAACTATGTAGGTAACATATTAAAAGTTAACTTGAACAGGTGCATTGATCTAAATACAAAAATGTCTTTATGCTCAAATTCTCTTAAAGTGTATTTCATCCCAAAAGCCTCACCACCATTCTTTTCTTCTTCCACTCAGTAAATGTTCTTTGGGATTCGCTGAGCAAACTTGAGAGAGTGAAGCCCAAATGATGATTTCTGGATTATAACTCATCTAAAAAGAGGCCCTGGATAAAGCTCCTCCTCAACCATAACTACAGCAGCACTGGTAGCATGACCAAACTTTTACTTCCATTAAAATGTGCTAATATTTAGGTGTGCACACATGTATATATCTGAAACTGTTGCATAACTTCATATAATTATATACCAATCAAATTCCCCTCAACTGAATAACATGTCAGACTGGGTTCTCCATTGATTAAAAGTTTGTTCTGATGGATTACCACATCTCTCAAACCTAATCCTAAAACCCTTTAGTGAAGGCTTAATCTTTAGAGCTATCTTGTATTTCAGTACACCTGTCCTTAGAAACTACATACTCCTGCATTTTGTAGGTAATAGTCATTCTAAATGTTTTGCTAATAAAATTTAAAGCATCTGGACAGGTAATTTGAAGCTAACAAAACCTAATATCAATGGAAATATCTTTGTGAAACACTTCAAATCTATGAGAAGGTGTTGGGATTTAAACATTGCTTCAGTATTTATAACATGCTTTTGTCTTATGCTCTTTGCGGAAGACTCAAAGTGAAACTAACCAGAAAATCTATTTTCATTGTCCAGTCAGAATGAAGTGATTTAATGGTGAAGAGTAAATTACTTTGTTTTCATAATAGAATGTTAATGTAATTGAGTTTTCATAAAAAGGATAAGTTATGTTAAAAATTCAGAGTGTAGAAATTGAACGTAGTGATTGTGCAGTTATCTATAACGTTTAACGTCAGATTATAGTCACACATTCAAAATATAAAGGAAAAGACTACGGTTGACAAAACATGAATTCATGTGTAAAACAGAAATATACTTTGTCTTGAATATCCAACTCTTAATACCCGTTTGAAACATCACATTAATATGGTACCTAGGAAAGATTCAATGTGAAATGTGTTAAATTAATAAACTCAAATCTAAATAGTTTATGGTTAATTTAAGTAAAAATTATTTGTAGTTCTTGGGCTGAAACTTTTAAAGAAGTTACGAAAAAAAGTTGCTGATATACTCCCTCCCCCCCCCCTTTTTTTTTTTTAATGTAATCTAGCCTATGTTCATCAAACCATAGAAATGTGGTACTGGAAGGGACCTCAAAGTCATCAAATCCAGCCCTCTGTGTTGAGGCAGCACCAAGTAAACCTGACAGATTTATGTCTAACCTCTTCTTAGAAATCTCCAGTGATGGGGATTCCCCAACCTCCCTTGGAAGTCTATTGCAGAACTTGACTATTCTTAGGGTATGTCTACACTATGGGATTAATCCGAATTTACAGAATTCTAATTTTGGAAACAGATTGTATAAAGTCGAATGTATGCGGCCACACTAAGCACATTAATTCGGCAGTGTGCGTCCATGTACCTGGGCTAGCGTCAATTTCCAGAGTGTTGCACTGTGGGTAGTTATCCCATAGTTCCCGCAGTCTCCCCCGCCAATTGGAATTCTGGGTTGAGATCCCAGTGCCTGGTGGGGCAAAAAACATTGTCAGGTTGTTCTAGGTACAGCCTCCCCCCTCCCTCCATGAAAGCAACAGCAGACAACAGTTTCGCGCCTTTTTTCCTGGGTGAACACAGCAGACGCCATACCACGGCAAGCGTGGAGCCCGCTCAGCTCAAGACAGCAGTCATGAACATTGTAAACACCTCCCGCATTATCGTGCAGTTTATGCTGAACCAGGACCAGAAAAACGAGGCGAGGAGGTGGCGGCGAGAATGATATGGACATGGACACAGACTTCTCTCAAACCGCGGGTCCCGGTGCTTTGGAGATCATGTTGTTGATGGGGCAGATTCTATCTGTGGAACGCCGATTCTGGGCCCAGGAAACAAGCACAGACTGGTGGGACCGCATAGTGTTGCAGGTGTGGGATGATTCCCAGTGGCTGCGAAACTTTCGCATGTGTAAGGGCACTTTCATGGAACTTTGTGACTTACTTTCCCCTGCCCTGAAGCGCCAGAATACCAGGATGAGAGCAGCCCTCACAGTTGAGAAGCAAGTGGCGATAGCCCTGTGGAAGCTTGCAACGCCAGGCAGCATCAGTCGGGAATCAATTTGGAGTGGGAAAACCTACGGTGGGGGCTGCTGTCATGCAAGTAGCCAAAGCAATCATTGAGCTGCTGCTACGAAAGGTAGTGACTCTGGGAAATGTGCAGGCCATAGTGGATGGCTTTGCTGCCCCTAACTGTGGTGGGGCGATAGATGGAACCCATATACCTATCTTGGCACTGGAGAACCAGGGTACCCAGTACATAAACCGCAAGGGTTACTTTTCAATGGTGCTGCAAGCACTGGCAAATCGCCTGGCTGCTGATTATGCACAGCCAGACACCAGGGCGATTAGAAGAGCACATCAGGAAGCGCGGCGCATCAGAGAAGCTTTGAAAACCAGTTTCATGACTGGCCAGGCTACTGTGTGAAAGTTCTGTTTGTTTCTCCTTGATGAAATCCCGCCCCCTTTATTGACTCATTCTCTGTAGGCAACCCACCCTCCCCCTTCGATCACAGCTTGCTTTCAAAGGAAATAAAGTCACTGTCGTTTAAAAATCAAGTATTCTTTATTGATTATAAAAAGAGAAAACTGAGAAGGTAGCCCAGGTGGGGTTTGGGAGGAGGATCGGAGGGAAGGAGAAGGTCACTAAAAAAAGGTTAAAATAATGACAGCCTTTTGCTTGGGCTGTCCACTGGGGTGGAATGGGAGGCTGCAAGGTCTCCCACTCCCCCCGCGCGTTCTTACACGTCTGGGTGAGGAGGCTATGGAACATGGTAAGGGGGGGGAGGTGGTTATACAGGGGCTGCAGCGGCAGTCTGTGATCCTGCTGCCATTCCTGAAGATCCACCAGACGCCAGAGCATGTCTGTTTGCTCACGCAGCAGCCCCAGCGTTGCATCCTGCCTCCTCTGATTTTCCTGCCTCCACCTCTCATCTCGAGTGTCTCTCCTCTCCTCACGTTGGTCCCTCCTGTCCTCACATTCACTGGCATCTTTCCTATACTTTGAAACCGTGTCCTTCCACTCATTCAGATGAGCTCTTTCATTGCGGGTGGATTCCATGATTTCCGCGAACATCTCGTCTCGCGTCCTCTTTTTCCGACACCTTATCTGAGATAGCCTTCGGGACGGAGGAGAGAGGCTTGAAAAATTTGCAGCTGCTGGAGGGAGGGGAAAAATGGGGAGAATTTTTTTAAAAGATACATTTTACAGAACAATACTTATACTCTGTCATGGTGAACAACCCTGTTCACATTATATAGCACATGTGATTTCTGTGCAAGATCGCATTTTGCCTCTTAATATTGAGTGCCTGTGGCTTTGCTGCTAGAGATCACAGACGCAGGTCCGGGCAACAGAATTCGGCTTGCATGCGGCCATGGTAAGCCATTGTTTTTCGGCTTCTGCGCCCTCCTTTCCCACATACCGAGCAAAGCTCATTGAGTGCTGCGGTTTTCCTGTTAACCTTCAGCAGCAGAAAACAAACACCACCCCCCCCCCCTCCAATTCTCTGGGATGATCGCTTTATCCCTCCCCCCACCGCGTGGCTGGTATCAGGGAAGATCCCTGCTAGCCACATGTGAAAAGCCCTTCTTTTCTCAAGAGTTAAACATGCCCCAGTTTTTTTAACCTTTCTCATTGTGCAGGTTTTCTAAATCTTTTATCATTTTTGTTGCTCCCTTCTGGAGTCACTCCAGTTTGTCCACATCTTTCCTAAAGTGTGGTACCCAGAATCGGACACAATACTCCAGCTGAGGCTTCTCCAGTGTTTAACAGAGTGGGACAAATGCCGCCTGTGTTTTACATACAACACTTCTATTGATACGCTTTGGAATATTAACCTTTTTTGCCTCTGCATGACAGACTCGTATTCAATTCGTGATCCAATATAACCCCCAGATCCTTTTCAGAAGTACTACTACTTATTCCCCATTTAGTAGTTTGATTTTTCCTTCCTATGTGCAAAGTAGTTCACTTGTCTGTCTTAAATTTCTTCTTACTGATTTCAGACCAATTCTCCAGATTGTCAAGATCTTTTTGAATTCTAATCCTGTCCTCCAAAGTGCATGCAAACCCTCCCATCTTGGTGTCATCCGCAGGTTTTATAAGCATACTCTCCACTCTATTATCCAAGCCATTAATTAAAATATTGAATAGTGCTGGACCCAGAACTGACCCCTGTGGCGCCCTACTAGATTCACCCCACCAGTTCGTGAACAAACCATTGATAACTACTCTGAGTACAATGTTTCAACAAGTTGTACACTCACAGTATAGTAGTTTCATGGAGACCACATTTCAAAGCAGCTGACACTTTAAGAAATGAATCTGTATGATTGGATTTTAAAGACTTGCACACATACTTTAAACTTTCTCCTCATTGTAATGTAAATATTTAACCCTTTCTTTTCCTCCAAACTTTTATAGTACAAAGCCATTCGACTGGTCACAACCTTTAAGGATAATTCAATGAAAATATAATACTTAGTGATAATTCTGCCTGTAATTGACTCTTTATTTCTCTTCCCTTGTTCTGAGGGCACTTAGAGTTTATATACTCTTGCTGCTTATTCCCGTTTGCAGAATGTTCCAGTAACTTTCACAGTATACATTGATAGAAGAACGAGACTTGAAGTGGGGAGTAAGTAACAGGAACACTGCATGGAAGAATGAAGTTTCTTAAAATTCCCCTCAGTTATAGAATGAGATGTACAAAAATATGTGCAGCAATACCTGAGCATATATATCAACTGTATAAGAATAAGAAAGGAGATATAGTCAGCTTCTGAAATGGCCACTTCAAGATTGCAGTTGCCTGTCTGTAAAATTAAAAGAGCTAGTTACAAGAACAGTATGCTAGGAAAGATGCCTCTGAGATGTACCTATCTCATAGAACTGGAAGGGACCCTGAAAGGTCATCGAGTCCAGCCCCCTGCCTTCACTAGCAGGACCAAGTACTGATTTTGCCCCAGATCCCTAAGTGGCCCCCTCAAGGATTGAACTCACAATCCTGGGTTTAGCAGGCCAATGCTCAAACCACTGAGCTATCCCTCTGACCCCTTCTTTGGGAAGAGTCAGTAGTGATCAGACAGCCATGAAAAGGGGTTCTAGGAAATGCCTAAACTCCCATTCTTGAGGCCAGAGATTTTTAATCAAGATATTCCAGGATTTTCAAAGCTGAAACATGGCTTTGAAATACCAGTCTTCGTGCACTTCTGATATTTTGTTTTTATAACTTGAGCCTTCTAACTGCTTTCTGCATTTAGTGCATATCCCTAACCTTATTACATACAATATAAAAGTAGGTGCTGATCAAAAAAGGAACTTCGTAGTTTGTGCTGACACTTTCTAAATCAAATACAACAATTTTTTTATTCAAAATGGCATTTTCAAAATGTACTTGCTTTATTTAAAAAAAAAACAAATACCTTAAAGATTAAATGAAACTGTTTTTTTGAACAAAACATTTCATTTGACCTGGAACAAATCTTTTTACTCTTTCATTGCTGAGAAATCCAAACATTGCTTTGGGTTGACTTAGAATGAATTTTTCAATTTTATGGAATGGTCAGCAAACGGAGAAATTGGTTATTCATGCAGCTGGACTCCACAATAATATAATGTCTTGAAAATGAGATTGAAACTTGCCCAGCTTACTGAGGTGGCAAAAGAAAATAAATCAATCACAGAAAAAAGGATTAACTGACATGTTAAAACAGCTGACCAAGATCTTAAATGGGTGCCTCAGGGTAGGCTCCTAAACCTATCATAAACCATCTGTTTCTGAAAATCTTGGCCCTCTCTATGCTAGAGCTTCCACAGCTACTACAAAAAGGGAGCTGTAAATTATGCATCCCAACTTTGCCAGTGTAGATGCAGCCAAGGAAGGCTAGAACTCTTGTTTTTGTTTTTAGAGAGAGAGCGTACTGAGATCCTGGCTAATACATGAAAGACTCCAAATCAAATATGCACATATTCTACACCCAGATTTCTGTTCCTCGTAATGCCTCTTACATGTGGGTTTGAGGAGACATCCATCTATCTGTAAATGGGAAAGAGGATTTCCTGGGCCTTAGAAAGGGAGGCCTTAGGTGGGAGGGAATATGGATAAACTTCCATTGGCAGTATTTATAAAGTTTTGCCTTCTTCCTAAAGCAAATAATTTTATTTTAATTTTTTTTTGTTCCCCCCCCCCCCCC